GCCGCCGCCGCCGCCGTCGCCGTCGCTGCTGCTGCTGCTGCTGCTGCTGCTGCTGCTGTTGCTGCTGTTGCTGATGCTCGGCGCTGCAAGCGCGCGACGGAGGGACGACACCATCACGCATACTATCGCGCAACACGCATTCAAAGAAGTACACGCGCACGCGAGCGAGCGGGCGAACAAACGTATACATCGCAGCTCGCGCAAACGCAAGTGTCGCTTACGGTTGAACGATATATCAACTGCGTACGCGCACGCACGTACGTACGCACGCGGGAATATACGTAGGTACGCTCGTGGTTACGGATGAGAAAGCTCTGAAGAGGTATACTCCAATCGCGCCAAAGTGCGAAACGTAAAGCGATACCAAAGGACACAACCGCTCTTTGCGAACTACTTCAAATTTATCTTCGGAGATTAGTTATCTCTCCCTCTCCCCTTTTACTACCGGATCACTTCCTTGATGATCGAAGGGTTGGCGACTGTCATCGGAATAATTCGGTCGGTGTCGGTGCGAGTGTCGGTGTCGTAAACGCGAGACCTTTCTCGTCGAAAAATCGATGTATACGTGAAAAAAAGTGAAGTGCCTCTGAGTGCATGACGGAGTGTGAGGGTTGAGTTACTATTTGACATCATTGTATCATTCGCGATTATTGTTCAAACACGTTTATCGGGAGTTTTCGCAGGATGACATTGTAGCGCGAGTAATCTACGATTAATAGCAAAGTTGATTTGGCACCGTGAGATCTTTACTTAAGTACGATTTTTTCCGAAGAATCGAACAGAACTTCGATTCTCTATTGTTAAAGGATGAAGCTTTGACTTTGATATCCTGGACAAGTGTCAACACAATTGCATTTGAATTGAAGAACACACGCGTTGGTTCATTCATAATTCTCTGCAAGTATGATAGGCGTTGAACATCACTTGTACAGTTTGTTTCGCAATTATGCGTTATTTAGCGGAAAATTCAGGACAGTGAAGAAGTGAGTGAAGAAACGTGATTTCTAACAGCGATCATCAATATATATGTCATAGTGATCAACGTGCAGATTTTCCGAGGACATTGCTTGTACCAGGATTTCACATCTTCCAGAATATAGATTGATTCAATTCGAGGAATCATTCGAGTTGAGCTGATCGAGAATTCATAATCGGCTCCGTCGTCGTTGTTGGCCTAATCGCGTCTTACGGATAGGAAACCGGCAGGGTGGTTCGAGGCGGGACGGTAGGCGCGGACGCCCTGGCGACTGCCGGGGTGGTTTACCCGGCCGCGACGGCGACGTTGTTCCCTGGTCGGGTGCCAGCCGGACATCACCACCCCGAGTTCACCACCACGTTGGAGCTG